CCCCCCCCCCGCTTCTTCCTCCCCCGCCTGGGCAGTGAGTGAGTGAACTTCGGAGCTTGTTCGGGCAATCTGCCCCTTTGTGAGAGGACCTGCTGTCTCTGAAAGGGCCAGGCCCTCAGCCCCGCCTTGGGGCCCTTCCTGTGTGCACGTGGGTTTGAAAAGCTCATTGATTCCCATCCAAAGGGGCTAATTACATTACTTACAGTAAATAGCCGCCCTGCTGTCAGGTAGGGCTGCCAAAGTGTGTGTGGAGGGGGGGGTCGCCAGCTTAGTTCACTTGATTGGCTTCATTTTTGTGTGAAATTGTGTTTTATGAGCTGTATTCTGGCACTCAGAGGACCTTACGAGCGGCCAGTCTGCAAATAACATTATTTCTGACCCCGAGGAAGGGGGGAAAAAAAGGCGGGGGAAGAAGCAGTAGAGTCTTGGATTTCATAGAAGACGCAACTCCAGCCGCGTTAGACGGAGATGCTCTGGGACAGGAAGTCAAGCTGCTACACCGCGGGTGGCTTTTCCTCCCTTCCTCCCTCTCTGCTCTCCACCCCGCCGGCCTGCCTTCCTTCCCCTTAACTCTCTTACTCTTCCTTTTTCCTTCCCTTCTCCTCCTTTCATTCCCCCTCCCTCTTTCTTTGCCTGGCTCGGTCTCTCCTTTCATCTCTTTAGATTTACAGCTCTGCCTGGGGCTCCCCCGGGCGGAGGGAAGCGGGTCTGCGGCTGGGAGGCTCCTCCAAGTTTCCAGGACGTCGGGACGGAAGCCCGCGGCGATTCTGGGCGAGTCGGCTGGCAGTGGAGGGAAGGAAGGAGCAGAGCGCGCTCTCTCTCTCTCTCTCTCTCTCCCTCCCTCCCTCCCCCCTCTGTGGAGCGGGCTTGGTTCCTGTCTTTGCCTCTGGATTGGGCCCCTCCCGGGCCTCTGGCTGATTCTATGAGTCCACAACCTCCGAGTATTGTGGATACTTTTTAACGGGGCCGGGGAGGGGCTGCGGCCAGGAGGACGGGAGGGCTGCAGAACAGTCTCGCCTCTTGTGGGGACCGGCTCTGCCATTCGCTCGTCAGTTCTCACCTTCCTCTCCTCCACAATGAGGAGCCCTTCACACACACACACACCCACCCCCGCAGCCTGCAGGACGCCCAGGGTTACAAGTCCCCTGTCCTGTGAGGGTAGTGGGGACAGCCTGCCGGGGGGCCAGAGCCTGGACCGACAGGGCAGGTGCCAAGTTCGTCGGAGCTCGCTCCCCACCTGGACGCGTTGCACACGTAAGGCTAGAATCTGCAGCAGCTTTCTTCAGACTTGAATGTGTAAGAGAATAAACTTGAATGGGGGCAGGGTTCAGTGACATAATCACGTCTACAAGTCCACGTTCTGTCCCCTATAATCGAAGTTTTCACACAAGAGAATCTTTTTTGGCACACTCCGGAGTCTGTGAGGGTTGCAGGCCTTCGGTGAGGTGAGGCAAGAGATGAACTGAGCCGACAGCTGCTTTTCAAAAGTGAGTTGGGGAAGAGGGCACGGGGAGGACAGGAATGAGCGTTCAATTCTCCGCTTCAGAGAACTGCTTGAATTTCTGCCCAATCATTAGATATTTTGGGTGATGATCTCGTAGGCTGGGGATGGAAAAAGTCCACCAGGAGTAAACCAAGTTTGGAGTTGATACTCTGTGTGCTCTGAGCCAGGGTTTGATCTTGAATCGGGATCAAATAGACCGGCCCTCTGCCTCCTGCGTCAGGGCACAGACAGTAAGGGCTCCTTTCCTCTGTTTAAAACAAAGACTCCTTTTCCCCTTTAAAGCGTGACTGCTGAGAACTCTTGGAAGGATATGTGGGTGTGTGTGTGTGTGGGTGTGTGTGCGCGCGTGCGCGTGCTCGCGCGCGCCTTTCGAGCGCGCACACGAGTGTATTGTGAGGAGGCAAAGCCCCCTCCTACTGCCTCTCCCCTCCGTCCCCCCACCCCTTTGTAATGTTTGTCCCCGCTTGCCCATCACCAGGGGGTTGAGAGGAGTATGACAGGTCTTTGTTGTCTGAATAAAAATCCGTGGCAGCTCCAGGGAGAGAACTCCTCCTACTAAATTATCAAAAATGGGCTGGCTTTAGTCTCTTAACAAATTGGACGCCGCTCCGGCAGGAGCAGTCCCCAACCCAACCTACAGGCACTGCGAACTTGAGCAGCCAGGAACCGCTGAAAATAGCACTTCGTTTTCTTTCTTTGTGTGCTAAACTATATTCTTTCTTCACTCAATTTTTTGTTTTCTCCCCCTCCCCGCAGTTGTTTCCCATTAGTAACTCGATCTGATCTCTCACAGCAGAAAAGATTCGCCTCCTCGGGCCCCTTTCCCCTCCTCCCGTGTTTGTTTGTTTTCTGCACACCTCCTTCAGGGAGCCGCTAGAGCTTTACCGCCACCTCCCCCTTGCCTTTTCCTCCCCAAATAGACCCATTTCCACTCTGTCTGCCTTTCTTCTTGCTTTCTTCCTCTCGCGCTGTCCCCGCGCGTCTCTGCGCTCCTCCGCCGCGCAGCCCTCCGCGGTCCCGCGGCTCCTTCCCTCGGATGAGCTGAGAGCTCCGGGCGCGTGTTTATGGAAATAGTGGCGTGCCGAGCAGAAGACAGCTCGTGTCCTTTCCGCCCCCCAGCCATGCTCTTCCACGGGATCTCCGGAGGCCACATCCAAGGCATCATGGAAGAGATGGAGCGCAGATCCAAGAGCGAGGCCCGTCTGGCCAAAGGCGCGCAGCTCAACGGCCGTGACGCGGTAAGGACGGGCCCTCCGCGGCAGCCCGCCGCTCGGC